TTACTTACTTGTTGATCTAAATGTGGTACATGAACATTTTGGGCTCAATCATAACTATAATGAGCAGTGGCATCAATACCGCAATATTGTGTGTTACCCTTGGAATAATGTTGATCAACTAATTTTCTTTGTTCTTCTGCTAATTTGGTATTCTTATTATAATAATTTCTTTCTAATCTTGCCTTGGACAAATGTTCTTTGAATCTTTTGAGCAAATCTTTAGCTTCTTCCTCTTGGTGAGCATTATAATGTAAACCATCTCTAAAATGCTGACAAGTATCACACAAATCAGTTCTGGGACTCGTAATTTGAATTTCTGGTGTCAATTGATGTCATAATTTTCTGAAAGCATCATATTTTAAGGATTTCAGTTTGCTATCTTCTTCCAGACCAGCTAGAAAGTCTCTGTGCACTGATTTATAACTCATTTCAGCTGGTAAGAATACAATTAAAGAGTAAATATATACCAGTAAAATTATTATTAATAAATATATGATTTTATTTTTATTGATTTTTTGTTTGTCTTCACTTTTTTTACTTTTTCTTCCCAATTTTTCATAATTTGATTCTTTTTTTCTTTTTCTATTAATTTATCAAATTTATTGCTTCCCTTTATTGAATTTGGCAATCTCATTATTAATCTTGTAGGTATTTCTTGCCATTCCTTTTGCATTTGACATTGAGTAAAAAATAATTTTTTTTTATTTCTGATTAAAAAATCATTTTTTTTTCAATGATCATATCAGATAAAAATGTCAAAACTAAATAATGCCCAAGCAACAACTATAATCAGGTGACTTTAAACAATAATTTAATAACATGTATGTTATTTGTTTGTTTGTTAATTCTTCAAATTGTATCTAAACAATATAGACAAGAAATAGATATTCCCAATTTGACATCTTATTTAGCTTCAAGAATTCCTGAAATTAAGTTACCAATAGAAACCCAACAATTCAAATTTGGTCAAAGCAACCCCACATATCTCCTAATTGATGCAAAGTAAGATTATATGATATTATATAT